CTTCGCACTACACTCATACATAAATTTAGTGTATTTATATAAATATTTGGTAACTACAGCTGTAAACGTGTTTAAAACATTTTGTGAAATCCTCAATAAATATTATTTTATCAAAAAAATACTAAACTAATCTATTTCTGTTATTTCTCAACCTGATTTATGAGACATCGCAACGATAAGATCCCAAATATTGTAAAACTCATTCATTTATCTCTCTGCTTCCTCTTTGTCCGTATTTCTCCACCATAGTTAAAATATGTGAAATATAAGTGAGCTTTACCACTAGATTTCATATTGGTACGTTTTAAATGTTAAGTTTTAAGAGGTAGCTAACTTCCCAGATGTAACAGTTGCGTTAATTTTGTTGCAAAGTTTATGTATCTATCTGTTTACAAACAAACAAATATCATGATTGACCTTTACGTAATAATCAAAATTTTATACATCAATGTGGAACTATTTACAGTGAATTCATATTCTATGAAATTCAGTGTACTGCAAAATGTTATCTTGTACAACAAGCATGGTTAAGTAGAAAAATATATCGTGTAAACATACAATAGATTACAATGTTAGAAAATTTATAAAAATGGTTACTGTCGAAAACAGATGTAATAGAAAGTATTCGAGAAAAACAAATGCCAACGAAGGTAAATATATTACTCAAACATTTTTTTTTACGGAATAGACGTTTGTACGTGAAATTATTGTTTTCGTTACTGAACACATAACAAATAAAATCAGCAAATATACTTTACGTCGAAGAATCTGTGAAAAAGGACCTCGTGGTTGAGTGGCTGTTACAAAAAAAAACACTTCTCAAACATGCAAACGTTAAAAAAAGATTGAAATGGGTAAAACAACATAAAAATTAGACAATTCATCAGTGGGAAAAAGTTCTTTGAAGTAATGAGTCTAAATTCGAGATTTTCGGAAGTAAAAGAAAAGTTTATGTAATAAGAATAAGTGAAAATTTCTAAAGTACATGTTTAGTTCCAAGCGTTAAACCCGAAGGAGGATCCATATCACAGATCTATATAGTTTTGTTGTTGGCCAACGGAAGATCATTTCCAAAGTAATTTTTTGCGTAGAATTCAAATCTGGAGTCAGAATTTGTCCATAATATCAGGTTTTTTAGATATCTTACCCTAAAAGGGCAAAAAAGGCAGTTTTTTGGTATATTTGAGGTCCCATAACAACGCGGAAAATTATTTTTTTTAAAACGGGGCAAACCATGTGCAATGTTCAAACCTTACCCTTTATATTCCATATTTAAGATTTCAGATATATTTTTTTTCATCAAGATATCGTTGATTAGAATCAAGTATTTTACCAGTCCCGAAACAGCCAATTTTCCGGATGCGTACATATGACACATGCAAGGTTATAACCTCACGTCTTTATACCCTAATTTCCATAACCCCCGAGCACTGTAAACTACGACGCAATAGCCCCAGACCCTTAAATCCCTATTAACTTAACCCTCGAACCCTGTAACCTGTGACGCTATAACCCCAGATCCTTATACCCTAATTACTTTAAGTCTTGAGCCCTGTAACCTATATATTACCTGTATATACAGTGCCGGTTAGCCACTTTTACCCCCCACGGGCAAAATCAGTCTAACTTCAAAGTTTTATATCTCTGGTAGAAATTAACGTACAGAAACGCGCGTGGGTGCGTTTGAAAGGTCTTTTGGAGAGCTTTCAAATGATATGACTCACGGTTGCCATCGATTGCTTTTTAAATTTTGCAACAATTATGCAAAATTGAAAATTCTGAAATTTTTTTATTATTTTTGACAATTAGCCAATTTTGGAAAAAAAATCGTACGAAAATTTGAAGTACACCATTTTTTAGCTATTACCAAGCCCTATCTGAATCACTCATCAAAAATTTATTTTCGTCAAATATGACGCGCGCACGGGCATTTTTTCCTGGAAGTGACAGTTTTTTTCAACATTTTTTATCTCCGTCAAATTGTAACAATTGAAAAAAATTTATAGGAGAAAAAATGTTTGTTTTTTTACGTAGAATACTGCAATAATTTTTTTTTCGGTTTTTTTCAATTTTTTTTTCTCACAGAAGAAGTTACCGAGAACAGAGTCTTGAAAACGACTGATGAAAACTGTTCGTCAATAAATTCTCCCTGTAAAGGTAGCCGTCAAAATGGTGTTTGAAAACTGTTTAGAAAAACTCTACGTGAAGACGTAACAAAAATGAAAGCGGTTTATCAGGTAATTTTATCGCATGTACGAAGTTATGATACTAACCCAATAAGCATTGCAGGTCATAAAGCTCAAGGATTAAGAATATTGGAGTACAAAGGTCTGGGGTTATAGCTTCGTAGGTTACAGGGTTCAAGAGTTAAAGCAATTAGGATGTAAGGATCTGGAGTTATAGCATCACAGGTTACAGGGTTCGAGGGTTAAGAAACTAGGGATTTAAGGGTCTGAGGCTATGGCGTTATAGTTTACAGTGCTCGGGGGTTATGGAAATTGGGATAAAGGCGTGAGGTCTTGCATGTGCCATATGTGCGCATCCGGGAAATTGGCTGTTTCGGGACGGCTAAAGTACTTGATTCCAATCAACGATATCTTAATGAAAAAAAAAAGATATCTTAAATCTTAAATATGGAATTTGAAGGATAAGTGTATATTTTGTACATGGTTTGCCCCCTTTCCAGAAAAATAATTTTCTACGTTGTTATAGGACCTCAAATATACCAAAAAACTGCCTTTTTTGCCCTTTTAGGGTAAGATATCTAAAAAACGGAAGATTAGAGTTGGTGATCTCATAAAAATCAATAAGATTTTTAAACAAAGAAGGATACAAACAAATTTTACAAAGAAACGTTTTCACATCAGGAACTTATCAGTAAATCACCCAAGCACATATCAAAAATATTTAAAAACTATTTTGAAAATTTTGAAAGGAAAAAGAACTTTACTGTTTTAGAATGGCTACTTCAGAGTCTAGAGTTGAACCCTATTCAGTTTTTTTGGGAAGAGCTAGATTGTGCAATTAGAAAGATTGTTTATGATTCTGCTTCTACGATGTGGGTCGCTCTATAAAGTGAAGAAAAATCATCAACCATTCTTAATAAATTTATTGAAAGGATGCCAAGAATTTGCAAAGCCGTTATAAAAAAGCAAAGACAGTTACTTTGATGAAAAAAAGTATAGTTTGTATAAAAATGCAGTTATTCACATTTTGATTTAATTTATTTATAAAAATAATTCTACATATTGTAACAGGCTGCCGTCTAATCAATGAATCCTTGAATAAACCTAAAAGTGATCAGACGTCGCGTAGTTATCTATGCGCTAGATGCGCATTAACCTACCTTGCCCGTAGTGCGCCTGCGCAGAGTCTCCTCGATGTTCCGAGTTGGGTTCTCCCAACTCGCCACTTGGCGGCGCTGTAGCTCGTACTATTAGCGCTCGTGCGGCCGCCACCGGAACCTAGGATGTCGACTCGCGTCTAGCGATACTTACGCGATTCGTGCTTCGCAACCGGCGAATTCGAATCGGAATGTAAACAAATATGCGCGACCTCCGGACAAAGGGAAAACACAATAACGGAAACTCGTTCGAATAAAGACCAAGGGATGATTTATTTAATAAAATCAATTACACGGGGATTTGGCCGAGAGTCTGACGCGCGCACGCGTGAATGACAACACACGCTTTTCGAGAGAGAGAGAAAAAAACCGCGATTGCCGCGAACTACCTGCTCGTACGCAAAACAATAAACTCTCCGCGCTCGCTGCGCGGATTCGCACGCAAAATCGTTATTACAATCAACAAAAGGGGAAGGTGCACCTACCGCAATACCGCAGGGGATACGGTGGCCAACCGTACCCAAAAGACAAGTGCTGAAACGCCGCTACGTTGCTCTGCCTCTGATGCTGTTGCCGCTACTGTTGCTGCTGTTATTGCTGTTGCTGCTGTTGCTGTTGCAGTTGCTGCTGCTACTATTGCTGCTGCTGCTGCTGCTGCTGCTGCTGCTGCTGCTGCACCTCACCCACGCACGCTCACCAGGAACAATGTCAATGTCCAAAACCAAAACGACAAAACTCGGGACGGATGGAGGTTAGGCGCACGGATCGACTGAGTGGCACAGTCATACTGGCGCTCGGAGCCTCCCCTCCCGGTCGTTGCCCCTTACGCGCTCTCTCTCTCTCGCGAACCGAACGCGGCTCACCTCGCTTAACCGCTAATTACCTCGCGCGAGTCGAACGATTTTCGGCAATCGTTGCAATATTTTTGTTCAGTTGTAAAAACTTATTAATTTATTGTGTTATCGATTATTTTTTATTTTTTTATTTTATTGTTAATTGTAAATCAATAGTTTACATATTTTGATTATTTAATATAATTAAAACATTTTTTCAACAGAATTGTAAATTTTGATTTTCTTCGAATCTATGAAAGAAGTTAAAAAAAATTGTTTTCGAATTCCTTATTTTATCTAAAATTTATATTTTTTATGTAAAAAGAAAACTTTTTTCTATTTACAACTTTTTCGTATCTATTAATTTTTCAGATATTTAAACTTGAATAAAGTAATCAATTTTTTTACTGATATACTTATAAGGTGGACAAAAATTATCATATAAATTTGCTTGATCACGCATTTCCAAACTAAAAGTATAAGCTTTTAAATGTCGTTGACATATTTTGAATGCAATAACTGGTTTAAAAACTATACAAAGTTTCATGAGGGATAAATATTTTGATTTTTCTATCAATATTTTATTGTTAATAAAACATATTTTTTAGTTTTTTTTTTAGTTCACAATACTTTTTTTTTAGAAGCTTGGACTTACAGAATACGAACACGTTGAAATGTTAAGGCTGCGATAATTTTTCGCCAAAATATAAAACTTTTATGCTTTTTAGATTTTTTTCTAAGGTTGGCAAAAGCCAAAATAACGAACATTAACAATTTACTATTCGAATCAATATTTTTAATAAAAACAAATTATGTACACATACCGATTGTACTGCTGGAGAGAATGCTGTACCAAACGGATCTGGGATTTCTGCTCTTCTATTTTCATCGTTTGTACCATCATTATGAAGATAATTGTTGCCGTTATTATTGATTGTATCATTATCATCTTTTGAATCATCATTTATATCGTGCCTACGAAAAAAATGTTTCTTAAAATTTCAAATCGTAATGTACCTACTATTTAACATATATATTCACATTTATAATTCCATCCGTAGATAGTTTCTATCATCTATTTCAATCTAATTTTGAAGATTGAACCATTTTGCATAATTAAGTAATATATACCTATCGATGTACTTGTTTGTTTATTTTTCATTATATAAGTATGGTATTGGTATTTTTTCTAAATATATAATATATGCATTGTTTACAAAATTTGGAGTTGATTATAGTTTTTTTATAATTTCATTATCAATAGTAAGCCAATCATTAGATCGATAAATTAAATTGATATAATGTTCAAGATCTATTGTTGCTCCTATATGAAGAATCATACTATTTACTTTATATAATATATCATTAACTTTAAGTTTATTCAAAATATCTATCAGTTTAAAACTTTTTTCTTTACTAATATCGTTTTTAAACAAATCCAGTTGAATTATATTTTTACTATCCATGACAATTTTTTTTCTTCAATTTTGGACTATTGGCAAGTACTAAATACAATCAGGACCACTGACAGTCGTACTAATCCGTCTAAAGTACAATCAATTAACTCTTGTAATGTTATACATGTTTTACTCTCAGGAATTTGAAATATTTGACGGAGAATCGCGGCATGGCCGTCGTTCCTACCGTTGGGCTCTCGCCGGGGTTCACGCGCCGCGCCAGGTGGCGAGTATATACGTCGAGAGCATACACTCATACTAGCCTTTGCTAGTATGCCCACTGGTGCGTGTGAGGTTTCCGGCGAAGTAACACGGGCGTGCGCGCGTGAGTGGCCGCTGCCAGGTGGGCATTTTTGGTGTATTGCAAGCAGGGAGGTTGGTGAGAGAAGACGAGCGGAAAGAAGATAGCAGGAGGAACGACAAATAGGAGCAAGGCAGGTGGACTAGGTCGATGCTGCGACGTTTTTTCTCTCTCTCATATGTTCCGAGCACTGTTACTTCGTGGTTAGCGCGGCAGATTTGCCAGCTACTTTGCCGCCCGCGATCATTGTCAAACTTTTCCTTTGTTACAGGTGTGATTTTGATTTGTATTTCGAAGCGCGGAAGTAGTAGGGAAGGCGGATCGAGTAGCACTCTTGCTACCAATTCGTGCTTCATCGTGAGCGCGGAGAATCTGTCGAGCGTAAGACGAGCGGGGAACGTTGTTGTTATGTTTTATTGATGATTTGCTTATTTTGCTTAAGTATGTTATCATTTGAGTAAGTTAGTTGTTATTTTGATTAAATTGGTTGTTATTAATTCGAGTTTCGTTATTTCGACTTGTGACTCCTCATTTCGTGAATTTAATATCGCGCGTTTTGATCCGTTTAGCTCGTCCGATCATTTATCGTGGGACCGTTCGCGCTTCTTGAATACCCTTCTTAAACAATATGTACGGACGGCTGCAAGCTACCAAAATCGAGAACGGACGCTAGAGCTAACTCCATTACAAATAATAAAATAATATTTGTAAATTGATTAGAAATTTTATTGTTATATTTAGCCAAATATATGTTATCGATCTCTCTCTGACAATCATCTGGCTTCTCTCAACCCGAACGTGCCCAAAGCAAACGTTCTCATAGAGAAAAAGGAAACAAAGGAATTAAAAATAACATATTCTCTCTCGCCAGTATACGACGAAGCTACGCGTATCTCGGTCCACATTCAACCTTTACATTTACAAATACATATGCACACACAGACAATCAAAACAAACTAAAAAAAAGGTCTAGCAAACGAGACACTGCATACAACCGTCGTACTACACGTGATCCTTGGAGGGCTTCGCTGCTGGGGCAACCGAGACCGGGGCCTGCTCGGCGAAAGGCGGATCGACTACCATCACCAGCGACTCCAGCACGGGAGGGGTGTAGCAGCGAGCTACCTTCCCATCTCTACCGTCAGGACTCGATCACTGGTATTCTTGGCAAGCATCACGCCACAACTGTTCTATGATAAGGTCGCTTCCCGCCATACTTTGTCGTCGATTGGCTAACACTCGAGTGATATCTATCCGCACGCGCTTCTTCAGACTTCCCCGACGGGTCTTCTTTTTCCTATCAGGCGTCGGTTTCAGCTATTTCCTCAGCCGAGGGCGCCGATTCAGCTACCGTCGTGGCTTCCACTATCGTCTGTGGTTGGAGAGCATCGGGCAGGCTCACGGACGGGATTTCCGAGCTATAATATAGGTTCGATACGCGACCGCACACTTGTCGCAATTGCCCACAGACTTATCGTAGCGTCCGCAGTTGCGGCAAAACTCTCGCGGATTGGCCACCTCTGGACACCGCAACCTCAGATGGAAGCAGGCTTTGCAATTAAAACAGAGGTAAGGCACGACGTCTCGCTCCAGGTCAAATGTCGCCGGGAGCAACCCCCACAAGAAGATACCCATCAGTCTATTGCCCTTTGCATTCATCCACCGCCGTGGCTCCTGCGGTGCAACTGTACGAACTGAGGATTGTGGCGAGGAAGCCCGTGAAGCCTTGCTCGCCTGGCACGCACAGATGCACACAGTCTGTCCTAGATTTATCGCCGGGGTCTTCTCCGTAAATTTTGCACACTCAGGGGCCTTCGTAAGCGCAGGAACTGAGACTGGCTCGTCAGCACGGTAAACGGTCACTCTGAATGAGGCAGTCTCTTGTGGCCGGTCCCATTTCAGCTAGATATAATAGGAAAAAATTCTCAGATCAGGCATCGCCTCATCAGTGGTCAGCACCCAGCGTCCTCCACGCCGAGAGTTCTAATTCCTCGCGTCACGCGGCAGTCGGCTCTCTGTTCGCTCTTCGCTGGGCAACCTCTTCACCCTGACCAGAGTTCTGTTTGGTATTTACCCGAACGGGCATCCCCGGCCGTCTATCATCGGCAATGTTTCGCTACGCCTCCTGCGGCAACTGACGGCCTTAACCAATCGCTGCCTACCACCAAAGTCGGCTTCTTTTCGAGGGCCGATACTTACATCTGATTCTTGGAATGGGGACCAAATTGATGTCTTCACCATTTGATGCCGATGAATTTGTCAGAGTGCTTTCCGAGTTGTCTTGCCCGGGCACCTCTAGCATGGTGTCAAAACTAGCACATTTTATGGTCTCATGTGAGGCTGCAACATGACTCGGCCTACTGCCGCACTTTGTCATCGCTCGACCGAGCCAGGGTACGTTTGAATGTACTCCCGCATCAAGCCAAAAGGAGTCGGGGAATTGCTTACAAGTTTTCTAAAGAGAAGTTCGAACCTCTGCGGTGCCGCCTTCTTCGTCCCGTGTCTCTCTGGACCTCCGCAGTCTATCGACGATCGTCCTTCAGGTATTCGGCGGGCGTGATGTTCCACACAATGGGCGGATGCCGGAAGGAGAACCGTGGATGCAGGACTTAGAGAGAGGGGATTCCACTCCAACGGAACGGGAATGTGTTCCGTAGATCGCACTGGTACCAAAACCTTAGTCACCTCAGTGGACTTTTGCGGGATCTCCTCCTCCTCGTCGAATAACGTCTAAGAGTCTGTTCATAAATCCTTCCTCCGGGATCTTCGCCAGCACTCGATCTTTTGGCACAGCAATCGAATCAGCCGCACTCGTCGAGAGAGTTGCCTTAGGGTTTTCTGCTCAGGGGACAGCCGCAGCGGAAGGAGTCACCGAACTCCGCAACAGGAGCTTCTTCCGCTTGACCCTTGCTGCTGCGCTGTCCACGCCCATCGCGAGGCATTCCTCGGCAGTTGGAACTCCACCGGGGGTCAAGAGCTCCCGCTCAACGCGGATCACGCAAAGCCGTTCTTGTGCGCTCTCAATATGCCTATCCACTACGTTGCGCAGCGCGTTTAACCATTGCAGCTGATCTTGCCAAATTCCGGTACCCACCTCGATCACAGGTACTCTTTTTTTCACTTTTCGCCTTAGGCTTTCCACTGGCCGCGGGTTACGTCCGAAGTTCAAGAATGCCGGAAAAACCTTCGTAGAGGAGTGAGTCGCGGTATTAATAGCAAGCCTAAGCTCGTGAAGATATTTATCCCAATTTCTGTGATCGTTATCGACAAAAATGGCGATCATAGTCTTTAGTACTCTGTTGATTTGTTCTACCGGAGCTCTTTGCTGTTAATAAGGGGGCAGAACACGTGCTCCACGCCACACTCGCTCAGTATACGCTTTCGCGTTATCGCTGACGAGATATTTCGGTGTTTCCTATCATAGCAATATCAACTCCTCGAACGTGCGTGTAAGTAACTTTCCGCCACCGAACTCAACGGTTTAAGCTCTACTTATTTCGTTAAGATCCTGAAAAACCACGATATACCGATTACGATTCTTGCTCCTCGGCAACTCAACCACGTCCGTCGCGACTACCGCTCAAGGACGTTCAACTAAGCGGCATCCCATCAACCCCTGGGGCTGCTTTTCCTTATGCCATTGACACTTGAAGCACTGGTTGATGAAGCTTTTTACGTCGTGTCAGATGCCTCACCAATAGTACTCGCGAGCCATGAGGTCATAAATTTTCTTTTGACTGAAATGCCCTGTGGACAGCGCACAATGCGCGTCCCGTAACAGTCTTTCTCTATACTCGAGTGGAACCACGAGTCGCCAACACTCTTAACGATTAGTAACAAGGTCGAACAGATGCTCTATCATGTACCGATAGTATCATTAATTGTTTTCTAGCAATATGGAATTTGAAAAAACGAAATTATGGTTACAGAATCGCATTCTACGACCTAAAAATTCTCGAGTATAATTTTCCATGCAAAAAAGCTGATAAAAACATGTATGCTTCAAAGGGTTAATGGATTTTTGAATTTTGAGAAATTCACAAATATATATATTTCAAACTAGGATAGCTCGACGATAATAAGATATTTGAAAAAACTCAACAGTTTCTCAAATGAAAATATTTGTGCTTTCAGATGCTTTAAATAATTTTCTGTGGAAAAATTTATTTACGGTGCTATATTACCTCAAATATGTTAAAAAACATTGTTTTTTACAC